GGGTGGGGGAGGGGGTGGTCGAGGAGGAGGTTTCCAAGGCAGGGGAGATTATGGCGGCAGAGGGGGCTATGGTGGCAGAGGAGGCTATGGTGGAAGAGGCTATGGAGATCCATATGGAGGAGGTGGTGGTGGGTATAGAAGATACTAAAAACTAGATAGCAGTGCTTACTTCTTGATAGATACATTAGACATAGTGTTCTAAATAACATACTTGAATGTCATCTTTGAAGTAAACACCATGTTAGATTCCCTGATATCATTCTTGAATTGAATTAATATGTAATAGCATTGTTTTATACTACCATTTGATCTCTTAGACAAAGTGATGATTTTCCCCATATTCTGTGTACCCTTGCGCATGTTATTCTTTTTAAAAAACAAAAAAAAATGAGCAAAAACTATTTTTAAAAATGTAAATATTTATTACCATCAGACTTGGAAAATGAAAAGTATTTTATTGTCGTGACGGAATTTACATTGTTACCTGTATTTTATTCAGGTTTGAGACACATAAATGACTCACTTGTAATTAGAATATTGCCTCATCTGTGTTCCTGTGGCTGTGTTTTGTATTTGTTAATTTTATTTTACAAAATAGGGACAGGGACTGATAGTTTTGTTCAATACGTAGTTGTCATGACTTGATTTGTCTTTTATAGGAAGCTATTCCTCTGGCCAGGTTTCTGTTAAAGTTCCATTAATTGAAGCTTGAGTGTACTTTTTGGTATGCATATTTGATTTATTTTCCATCTGGATTTGAAATCTGTGATTTTGTTTGACAGATAAAGCAAAGTTATATTGAGGTCAGGATTACTCTAAAGGACAAAGATGTACCAATTATACATGATGGTGTAAAAAATATTACTATAAATTGATTTTAGGTATCAGAATATTAAAAGGCAGGCTGAGCTATATTACATAGGATTAGAGCAGTAATTTCCAGTTTCAGTAGATCAGAGGTAGGGCCAAGGCATCCCTTGGTAATTCTGATTCATAGCCAGATTTGAGAAACACAGGGTTCAGGAATGGTATATGTAGTTTGGTGGTTGGAGCAGTCAAAGGCTTAGGGATCAGGAGGTGTGAATTCGAATCATGGCACTAGCCCATTTAGCTATGGGCTGAAATGACCAGAGATCTCAAAGTTTGATTTGTCCTCATTTGTCAATGAGGAATGTGACACTTGAGCTGTACTCAGGTTGTTTCATAAAGAACTAAGTACAAGTGAAATTTGTTGAGAATAGTGGGCCTGTTGTGAATGGTTTAAGAGGTCGGCCGAGTAATGCATTTTTCTGTTAGTATAGAGTTAGAGAAAAAGAGATAGCCACACAAATTTTTTCAATTCCCACTGTAAAATCTGTATTAACGAAGTAGGCTTCCGGTCATCACCTGTGCATAACAACTTTCTGTGCTCTAACCTACTCAGTAGATAGAAAGATGAGCGCCAGTGGACAAATGGTATTTGATATTTGCCAGCTTTGTTGTTGTTTTGTTTTACATAAATGCTGTGGTGAAATCTAAAATAATGTTAAAACTAAAAGTAAATATACTGTGTATACTGCAGTCTTGGCCATGTATTTTTCAAGCTAGCCCTTCAAAGAAATTTGTTCAGGATAGGAAAACAATTTTTTTTGGTTATTTGTAAACTTAGATTATTTTTAATATGTCTATATTTAATGAAGAGACTTAATTTCATTTGTGGTAGTTGGATAAAAATGTTTTCCATAATTAAGAAAACAGTAGCTGTGAACTCTGAAATATAATATTTAAAAATATATAAGTAGAGATCACTGGGGTGAAATATTTCAAGCAAGTTATTAGTTAAAATAGAAAATGTTCATTTAAAATCTTTACATTTCTGCTTCATTTATTTTCAAGAGCTTTAGTTGCTGATACAGAAAGGGTTTACAACCACCTTCAACTTTTATCACTAAAGGTTTATGGCAAATAATGACAAACATTAGTTTATCAATTTCTGTAAGAGTTCTTTGTATACCTGCATATGAGTGCTGTTGAATTATCCACTCACTATCAGTCTTACCTAACTTTAGCACTTGCTCCTGGAATCATGTAGCTGGAACCACACCTATTTATACACTCCTATAAATACTTGAATTGAAAAGCCGAGTGGTCTAGGCAGACCCTAGTATGTTATTCTTTCCTGTAAGCTAAGAGTTTCATGATAATCTTTGTTCATTTGTAGAAGAGTGCGCTGAGCAATATCTAGAATAGCAATACGGCAATCTGGGGCCTTAATGTGCACGTGTTTTATACATGGAGTGCGATACTGTTGAGTGGCACTTCACTGCTTCCTGAAGTCCAGCCCCTTTTTCTGTGCCTCTTCTTCATTCCTTTTTGCCTGGTTCTCATTTTCATTTTTTCCTATTACCTTATTGTCCCTCTCCTTTTTTTCTTTTTCTTGCATTGGTTTAGCCTGTGGTATCTAATAGCATCTATAGATATGTCTTTACTGGGAATTTCTGGATTAAAGAAGGTAACCGACCTCACATCTGGACCATACACACGTTAAAAAGAACCTGAGTCCTGTCCATACATAACCACCACACCTTTACATATAAGCTCTCAGCTAAAAAAGGGATCAGGTGTTTTCTTTGAACCTATTCCCTGTGTTCTGCAGATCAGGGAAACTTTGCCTCACTAAATAAAAAAAAAGTTTTATTTTTTTTCTAGTAGGATTTTTATTGAGATCGATTTAATTCTGTAGAACAATTTTGAAAGATTTAATATCTCTCCAGTTTTTGGTTTTACAAAGAAAAAAACATTTTAAACCCAAAACACTTAATCACTGTATTTGTGTCAAAAGAAGGTACGATAACCCAAAAAAAGATTTGTTACCAGAGAATGTTCTGATCGGTGATACTGTTTATACCTTGTAAAGAGCACAGAGTAGAGAGATTTGGGATGGGAATTGGGGCTGGAGGAGGAGAGGCACTTTAATCTCTTCTTTAGTTTTAGGTTGTCAGTGTGACTTCATTATTTTACATGACGTATTATGAATTGCCCAAATGATAAATACATCCAAATGTAGTAGGATGCATTCCGTGGTGGAATTTGAGTGATTGGAATTGTTCTCCCTTCTTCTGGTTGAATAAAAGTTGGCTGGGGGTTAAGGGAAAATTGTGGCTATCTCTGTTCACCCTAAGTAATCATGAGCACAAATGAAGTGCTCTGGGTGGTCTGGAGACTGGATTGAACCATCCTCTACCAGTTTCACCCACAGCTTCAAAGTTTCTCTTCTTTACTTACTAGTTTTCTTAGAGCTGTGTAAAGATGAAAACCACAGAGAAATGACAACCTCAAATTTGGCTCTTTCAGTGTTAAGTATTTATAAACTTAATATTTGGGATCACTGTAAGTCATTATGCAATAAGATGAGAAGAGGTTGAATATTTCTGTACTGTTATTTCATCATGTTATAAAAAGATGTTTAAGAACTTGCACTGAATAATTAGTTGCTTTGCTTTTCCGTCTAGGAAAACTGTTTGGTTAATAGGATAGGGATGTGGTCTCAGCTGTGAATTAGAGTCAAAATTCAAGTGAAGCTTCTGCATATTCATGAACTAGAAGAAATACAAGACATCTATGTTGTAGGGATCCTAATGTCTTTTATCATATAAATATTACACAGAGAAAACTTACATTAGGTATAAAAAAACTTTACATTCTGTACATTAGTTTTTTCCTTGCAGTTCTTTTACATAATACATCTTTAGACAGAAATTTACATATAGTCAGTAAAAAGGCAAGTCAATTACCAAAGAAAATGAGAAGTGACATTGCTGTTAACAAAACACAATTTGTCCTTGTTTTGACAGATAAATATATGCCAAACTTATTTCAAGTAAGTACAAGACACAAAAATTTGTATCCTAGGCTTGATAAACCAAAAATTTGTTCCATATTATTTTTGGAAGATTCCACAAATCCCATGTAACTCAGTGCAAATAATATTAATTTACACACTATACTTCTTTGGCCCTTGCTGGACTGTAAAAATCTGTGATGAAACTGCTGCTTCCCATCCATTTCAGTGATAAATTCTGGCATACTTGAGACCCTCTAACCATGTTACTTTGACTAATTAAGGGGACTGTGACATTTTGAATTCCTATAGATTACAGATTATTTACATAGAAACTAATCTGGAGTCTATATTTTGGATAGAGGGTAAGAAGAATGAAAAAATTTAATTGTATTACATGACTATGTTTAAAGAAATTGAGCGGTACTGTCTTTGGTCTATATCAGAGGAAAAGAATAATAGTGAAGAATATGAAATTTAAAGATTATCATGAACTCATGTTACCCCATATAAGGTAAGTAACAAAGTGCTTCTGTAAGTTTCCATACCAGGTGGTGGACCTAAGCAGCCCTGCTGTGCGATTTTTGAATTTGGATTTAGAAAAGAATAAATATGTGTGTAAAGTGATTTTTTAAAAACACTAACTGAAAGCTAGTCATTAGCTTTGTCACTAAAGCTAAGTACAAGGAGGTACGCAAATGGAAACTGGTCTTTCATCGAAGAAGCTTCTTAAATGGTATGAATCCTCCAAGGAAGATGCCGCATGTGCGTGTGAAAGAGGGAGAGGGAGGGGGGAGAGGGGGAGGGGGAGAGAGGGAGAGGGAGAGAGAGAGAGGATGCATACACACATATATACTTTATATTCTGATTAAGACTTGGTGTTGGCTTTAGGTTTGGAACTTCTAATTGTTGAGATTATATTCTTGGCAGTTGGTCAGCTTCTTTATGAATTTCAAGTCATTTTGGTACCAGGCTTTCCAAGCATGGAAGGTAAGTTCCCCCCAAAAGAAAATGACCGTATGAATTTTTGAGAGAAATAAAGAGTCTGACAAAGGAGTTTGTGAACAGATGCCCAGACCCCTAAATAAGCCCATTTATCATTAACCTTATTAATAGATAACTCACAGGACTCTAACTTGTGATTTTGCCAAACAATAGTTTACGTTGTAAGTAAATTCTTCATCTTATAACAAACTGAACTTTATATTTGTGAATTTGTGTAAATGACTAAAAGTTGTTTAATTCACTTCCTCCATTTTATGGAAGAAACAAAATTCAAGTCACATACATGCCTGCTATTGTATATACATAATATACATAAACGTATATGTACATGTTTGTCAGCTGTTAGGCATTGAAGGCTGTGATCCAATTAGCTTATTTCTAAATAGTATTAAATAGTGAAGACAGTATAAGCACAAATTCAGCTCAAAATAGTTACTTCCAAAACAGGGTAAAGATGGCACATGAAGCGCTGAACACTTTAAAAAAACAGCCATAAAGCCCTAATTCTATCCACTGTAGATGATATGAGGACAGACATGTTTGCAGTATGTTTATTTTAGCTAATTAGCCAGTGATGTATGAGATGATAATAGCCATGTTTTCAGGTATTTAATTTGGCTACTTATTTTATTAGACTGTGAGACTAAAACTATGAGTTGATCTGCAATTGGATCATGTCTTATTGTTTATTAAGCACCCCCCTGTCCTGAAATTTATGGCTACATCTCTAGACGCTCACTTCTATCTAGGTAGATATCCTTGTGTGTATGAGTGTAGTGAGGAAGGAGGAGGAAAAGGCTAACTGATTAGATTTGAGGTAGTGAAGTGGGAACCAGACTTGTAAAGAAGGCTGGAATATAGAGAAGTGGATCTACTTTTGGAATGTGAGTATTTTAATATAAGCAAACTTTGGATGGAACAAAGTAAACCCCTGAGTTCACAGAAAACTCTGGGGAAGGAAGCAAATTCATTTTCTAGGGATTGTAGTTCTAAGGAAGCAGCAGCCAGGCAGGCCACGTAGGAGAAGCTACCTTGTCAGAAAACTATAGTCATGTTTTTATCACACTTTTGCTATTATTAGTCTCAGGAAGGAAAAAAAATAATGTTTGTGATATGGTAAAAATTTTGCATCCTTCAGTTTTCCTCCCCTTTGATTCAGCTAACTGGAAGAGAAAACAGTACCATACTTTAGGACTCTTCTGAGGTTAAAAAAAAAAAAAGAATAGCTTTTCTTTTCTTTTCTTTTTTAAGTACCCTTTTTAAAGCTCACCAATCTAAGGTTCCCTGGGTCTTTGTGTTAATCGATTTAGGAAATGAAATCTCTGATACACTCCTCTACAGATTGTGCTCCTTTGATTTCTGGGCTAAGAACAGTCACCCTGTTCCATCTGATTTAAGCTATGATTGCTTTTTGCAAGCTGGAGGCTTTCTATTTTCTTCTGTGCATATTTCAGTTGAATCTTTAGAGCATCATTGTCTGCTTTCAGGGTATTTATTTCCTAAAGGGAAAGGAGAATGAGGCATGTTAATAAAGCAGCAATGAATAGCAAATCATCACAGTATCAGGAGTATCACACTTGATTGGCACCTTCCCATTCACTGTGGCTGAGAATTAAAAACTATTTTCAAGACAGTTATTTTGCCTTGAATAGAAAATAACAAGTTAAATATTAAATGAGCATATGCAAACAACAATTAGCTTTTGTTACTTATATCAAAGATGTGAGTGCCTAAGGCAGAATAAACCATTCCTGGGCAATAGGTGGATAATGACAAAACCTTTGAATATTGTGTAGCAGGAGACCTAAACATGGTAGAAACAGTCTCTGGTTGGATCTAAGGTATGAAAGCAGAACTCAGAAAACTAATGAACTCTTGATAAAGGTAGGAATTTTATCCCACCCTCTAAACTGGGATCTCATCTAATTTTCATGATTTAATTATACAGGCAGCAGTTGGTTTCCAGTCTTGACTTTTTTTTTTAATTGAAATCTGTTTGACACATTGTGTAAATTTAAGGTATACAGAATGTTAATTTGATACTTATATATTGTAATATGACTGCCATTGTAGCTATAATTAACAGCTACCATGTTACGTAATTATTCTGTTTTTAGTAGTTGGAATAATTAAGTTCTAGTTTCTTAGCAAGTTTGATGATTTTAATACAGTATTGTTTATATTCACTGTACTGTGCATTATATCTCTAAGGCTTATTTACCATTCATTGTAAGTCTGCACCCTTACACAACATCCTGTCCTCCCACTCTCGTTGCCTGGTAACCACCATTTTATTCTGTTTTTACAAGTTTGGCCTCTTAATCTTCTACATATAAGTGGTAGAATACAGTACTTGTTTTTCTATCTGACTTATCTCACTTAGCATAATGTACTCAAGATTCATCTGTGTTGTCACAAATGGCAAGATTTCATTTTTTTTATGGCTGAATAATATTTCAATGTATATATGGACCACATTTTCTTTATCCATTCATTCATCAATGGATACTTAGGTTGTTCCATTATCTTGGCTATTGTAAATATGCTGCAGTGAACATGGTGGTGCATTTATGTTTTCGAGTTAGTGCTTTTGTTTTCTTCCCATAAATACCCAGAAGTGGAATTGCTGAATCATATGGTAGTTCTTTTTTCTCAGTTTTTGAGGAACCTCCATATTGTTTTCCACATTGGTTTACCAATTTACATTCCCACCAACAGTGCACAAGGATTTCCTTTTTTTTACATCATCATCAGCACTTATTATCACTTGTCTTCTTGATGACAGCTATTCTAACAGGTGCCAGGTGACATTTCATTGTGGTTTTGATCCGCATTTCCCTGATGATTAGTGATGTTGAGCATCTTTTCATGTACCTTTTGGCCATCTGTATGTCTTTGGAAAAATGTCTATTCTGCTCATTTTTAAATTGGATTTTTTGTTGTTGTTATTGAGTTGTAATGAATTCTTTATATATTTTGGCTATTAACCCTTTATCTGATATATGTTTTGCAAAAATTTTCTCCCATTCTTTAGGTTTCCTTTATCATTTTGTTGTTTCTTTTGTGCAAAAGCTTTTAAGTTTGATGTAGTCTTATTGGTTGATTTTTACTTTTGTTGTTTGTTCTTTTGGTGTCATATCCAAAAAATCATTGCCAAGACCCATACCGAGGAGCATCTTGCCTACATTTTCTTCCAGGAGTTTTATAGTATCTGGTCTTATGTTTAAGTCTTTGATCCATTTTGAGTTAATCTTTGTGAGTGGTGTAACACAAGAGTTTCGTTGCTCTGCGAGTGTTTTTCTGGTTTTCCCAACACCATTTGCTGAAAGATATTTTCCACATTGGGTGCTTTTGCCTCCCTTGTTGAATATTAGCTGGGGTTTAATTCTGGGCTCTCTTCAGTTCCATTGATCTATGTTTATTTTTGTGCCAGTGTCATGCTGTTTTTATTACTGTAGTTTTGTAGTATAGTGTGAAATCAGGAAGTGTGACAACTCCAGCTTTTTTTTTTTTTTTTAATCAGGATTGCTTTGGCTATTCAGGATCTTCCATGGTTTATACAGTTTTTAGGATTATTTTTTTCTATGTCTGAATAATGCCATTGGTATTTTGATGGGATTGCATTGACTCTACAGATTGCTTTGGTAGTGTAGATGTTTCAATAATATTCTTCTAATCCATGACCACAGGTGTTTTTCCATTTGTTTGTGTCTTCAGTTTCTTTCAGCAAAGTCTTGTCATTTTCATTGTACAGAGCTTTTACTTCCTTGGTTAAATCTATTCTGAGTATTTTGCTGTTTTTTATTCTATTGTGAATGAGATAGTGTTTTTTTTCCCAGATGTTTCAACCTTAGTGTGTAGAAATGCAACTGATTTCTGTATGTTGATTTTGTATCCTGCAACTTTACTGAAATTGTTGATTAGTTCCAATAGTTTCTTGGTTGAGTCTTTGGGATTTTCTATATACAAAGACTCATATTATATGCAGATAATGACAGTGTTACTTCTTTCCTGTTTTGGATGCTTTTTATTTATTTTTCTTGCCTAATTACTCTTAAGACTTCATACTATATTGAGTGGTAAGAATGGGCATCCTTGTCTATTTCTGATCTAAGAGGAAAAGCTTCAGATTTTCTCCATTGAGTATGTTAGCTGTGGGTTTGTCATATGTGGCCCTTGTTATCTTGAGGTATGTTCTTTCTGTACCCAATCTGCTGAGAGTTTTTATCATGAAAGGGCGTTATATTATTTCCCTTTTGATTTCTTTGACCCACTAGTTGTTTAGATTCCATGTATTTGTAGGTTTCCCAGCTTTACTCTTATTGTTGATTTCTATTTTCATACCATCGTGGTCAGGAAAGATAGTTGGTATGATTTCAGTCTTTAAATTTGCCAAGATTTATTTTGCCTTCTCATACGATCTCTCCTAGAAAATGTTCCCTGTGTACTCAAGAAGCATGTATATTTTGTTGGATGGAATTTTCTATATATGTATTATTAAGTTGATTTGTTCAAGAGTGTGGTTCAATTCCAACATTTCCTTATTCTATGTCTAGATGACCTATCCATTGCTGACAGTAGGGTATTGAAGTTCCCTATTATTGTATTGTCTATTTCTCCCTTTAGATATGTTAGTATTTGCTTAATATATTTCAGTGCTCCAGTGATGACTGCGTATATATTTACCATTGTTGTAGCTTGTAATACTTCTTTTTAAGCCTTTATACTATAATTAAGTGGTTAATACACCATTCTAATATATAGTTTTCTAATTCTGTTTTTCACCTTTGCTAGAGTATTGTAGGAAAGTAGATGGGAAAACTGGGGACAACAGGCAGTTGTCCAAATACTTGATTCTGTAGGGTCAATTACTAATGTACTTTTTGTTTAGAGTACAAAGCTCATGGTGAGCTTTGAATTACAGATAGACGAGTCATTGTAAGGATTTTACTTAACAGGAAAGTGGGACTCATTGTTCTTTTAACATAATGATGAATTCTTATCCCTAAGTCTCTATGACAGGATAAAAGAGAGGCAACGGGGAAGATGGTGAGAGGGTTTACAAGCTCTGGTATTACTGGGTAGGAAGTATTCTGGACCTAATGCTTCTTCTTTTTTTTTCTTTCTTTTTTTTATTGTTTGTTTTTGTTTTTAGCTGAGCCATCCTGCCACCTGTTGGCAGCTCAGCTCAGGCTGGGACTCGAACCGCTGTTGCTCAGAGCTCGCACTCTTGATGGAGCTCTTAACCACCTGAGCCACTCGGCCGGCCCTGGACCTAACTCTTCTGAAAGCTTTCTACCACCACCACTTCTTGCAGCAAGAATCATTGTTGCCAACTACATTGTTCCTTTCCATGGGCATGTTAAATGTCATTATCTGAAGCAAAGGGTAGAGAATCCTACCCTGTATTTTATAGAGGACCAAGCAAGTCAGAGTTTAACAGCCAGTGAAAGAAATATCTGGGCCTAGAAACATAAATCCTCATCGCCAAGGCCAAAGTTCTTGCTATTCTGTTTAGTTCACTTTTTAAGATTTTTTTCTTAAAAGTTGCTTTTGTCAGTTTTCCCCCTAAAGAGAGAAGGCCTTTAAGGTACAACCCACATTTTGCCACCTTCTGATTGTCTTGATTCTTAAAAGCACGTCTTAAAAATATTCTGAGCAAGAGAGTACTTTTCATTCAGAAAATCTGTTATTTTTTCATATTTTCCTCCTAATATTACGTTCTTTGTTCTAGGCACCAAACCAAGAGTTTCTTCATATGTGTCTCTAACTCAGTTCCTGGGAGTGACAGGGAAGGCACAACACTGAGAATAAGGCCGGGAACCCCGAGGCCCTCTTCCACAGCCTCACTGTGTGTGCTCTGTACAATTATTTAAGGAATTCTACCCAGGTGGGTGTTGCTTTTATATTTGTACTGATAGGCCTCCAAAAACACATCGCCATCCCAGTTGTTTTGAAAACAAAGGCAGATGGGCATTCCCCCCTTTAATAAAGTGAATGATCATGTTGGAGCTAATATATCCTTGCTTCCCTATCTCTAAAATAACTTACCTGTCATTGGTAAGAAACTACTGTCCCCATGACAAGAAGTCTACCTAAGCCAGCTTGCTGTGAGCTTTGTACTCTAAACAAAAAGAAGTACATTAGTAATTGACCCTACAGAATTGAGTATCGGGACAACAGGCAGTTATCCAGGCTCCTACTTTGCTGTCTCTCCTTTCACCTCATTAGACAGTGTGAGCCTAACAGAAAAAAAGCAGCACCTGGTACCATAGCTGTTACCATTTTATAGATTATATTAAAAGGGAGGCTTTTCCTTGGTTGAGCTAGAATATACTTCTTTTTTTTTTTTTCTGGTAGCACAAAAATCACCTGCCTTCCCTTAGGAAGATATCTAGGCAACCATGAAGGGCCCAAAACATAACCCTGAGGAAGAGAGATTAACAAAGACCTCTCAGGAAGGAGGGTTTAGGCAAGTTCATTTCAAGTTCCATTTAGGAAAAGGGGGTGTCAGCACAGTAAAACGGATCAGTAGAGCCTGGTTGTTCTCAAGGAACCTACTGTGAACAGTTGGGCCCTGGCACCAACACTTTGAAATGGCACCTTTATGGCAACAGGGAGCCCTGTATATCCTGTTCTACTCATGTAACGTGAACCAGGGCTCCCACTGGTTTCTTTGAAAGCTGGAATCCTTTTCTCCCCTCTCTTTGCTTTATCCTGCTAGTAATCAGCCTGGTCTGAATCTTCAATATACATGCCCTCCCCTGGTGTAGCCCCACTTCTCTCAGAAAGTCTGAAAAAAAGGAAGGTACCTGTTCCAGTTCTTGGTAGGTTGGGAGTCTGAGGTGACGGAGTTCGTCCTTTGATTTTATGAGGGAGTCTTTATTCTCCCACTTGACAAAAGCCCGCTTTCTGACCAAGACTGGGCTGGGGCACGGAGATGTGGGACTGGGAAGCACGTACAGAGTGTCCTGGGCGGTCTTCCGTGGGGAAGTCAGCGCAAAGGGGCTCTCACTGCCCATCCAAGGCAGTGATTCGGTCTGGGTGGCCTTGTCGGTGACAGTCCTCTTTAGCCGAACAGAAATCTTCTGTGAGGACACTCCCATGAGCATGATGGTCCGATCCTTACTTTCCTCACTTTGTTCCACGGCCTCCCCATTAGGGAATGTAAAAGGTCCTTCCTCAGGCGCTGGAGAAGACACACGACATGTTAGGACTCGAGCTCAGAAAAGCAGAGACTCAAGATAGACACATTAGTTTCAAATGAGGTCGTTCTTCCTGTTACATGAATTCCATAGGCCCCAAAATGGACTCATTTTCAGGCACCTAATTTAGGGGAGGAAGGGGGCTGAAATTCAGGGGCTTTGCGGGCCAAGCTATGGCCACTGGTATCAGGCTACGTCCACCCTGAGGAAAGGGCGTCTTTTTCTGTTGGCCTAGAGGGTTTCTGCAGAAAATTTGAAGCCCCTGCCTCAATGATGTAAAATTTCATAAATTAAAGAGAGCAGGGTCAATATATAGACAGATGTGCCTTATAAATACCTTCAGTGGGAGCTGTTAGCACTTAAGTTTTGGTCCTGATATAGGTGCCTTCAACAGCTGGTAGGAATTCTCTGTGGCACCTCTTTGTACAGTGGATACAGCTTAACTGTGAGGGGAGTTCTAGCTTTGTGCAGGTGGATCAAAATGTATTGCCTGGTTTGCTACTGATTGGAAAAGGAGAGAGGAGTCACTCTGGCTTTCTTCTTTTAATCAACACCCCTGCCCAGCATAGGTCTTAACCAAAAGGAGTAAGTTCCTGGAAAAGTAGAGGAGGAGCATGTATTTGAGATGGGTGGGAGGCTTTAAGATAGACTGCAAATCATCTACGTGTCCTGCTTTGCTAAGGCTCAGCAGTGATTTTAAGGTATGCATGCATTTTTAAGATGTTTTACATATACATACATATATATATGAGAGAGAGCGCTCTCACACTATTACTAAACTTTCTAGCTAAGACATTGGATTGGTACAGTCAAAATGGCTTCTGGACAACTTCAAAAGTGCTCTAATTAGCATTTGTAATCCGAGACAACAGTTGAAATACTAGAAACTTTATAAGGATCCTAGTACAATTTTTTCCTAGGGGAACATAATTTAAATTAACATTAAATATTTACCCAAATAAAGCTCAAAATTATACTGTTATTTAAGTACCAGAATATGTAAATTGTCATATTCATCCTAAAATAATTTCACTGTCTTCTTTAGAGGATTATTATGGGTGGTGATATTTTGTACCTCCTTTTTCCAACTTTTCTGTGACATCGTTATACTCCTACCAGCCCAAATTATAAATCCTTGTAAGAGTTTGGTCAAATTCATAGACACACAGAAAGCTTGGAACAGATTCTTAAGTACTCTACCTTTTTAGAAGGAAAAGGAAGAAAGCAAATTAAAAGGATCCAGCAGAAAAGGAGGCCTTAAAATGGCAGGAAGAGTTCCAGGAGACCACATTGTTACAAAAGTCAGGAGAGCTGTAAGTTGCAAGCAAGGAAAAGTGGGTGAATGTAGCAAGGTCCAGCTCATTTGCAGGCCACACGCTGGGGTGCCGGACCTTTATGCTCTTCTCTGCCACTTTTCTCCCACGGGAATTTGCATTTTATGTGACAGAATTGTGCCCAAAGGTGATGTGTTACTCTTAAAATACAGGACGGATACATATACAGGCATGTGTTCCACAGTGGTGTTTGTGCTTGTTTCTATTGAGATAATACAGGTATTCTTTCCTCCTCGAAAACCTGGTCCTTCCCCTTTCGCTTTCCAAGGTGAATGTTCCCAGTGCCTCGTACTTACCATGGAGCAGATCTTTGGCTCCCAGCGAGCAAAGGCTGGACGCTGGCCCCACAGAGGGGCTGTTCTCGGTGGGAGCTGCTGAGCTCTTGGCTCGCTTCTTGCACTCGAACACAACCAGATCTTTGCACTGTTTGTGGCAGTTCATCCCGCAGTCTGTGCACAAGACACCCTGGTCAGAAAGTCTTTCGGTTCCTTCTCTAGGGTCTCAAAACCACATGCATGCAGTGCTCTCTCAGCACACGTGCCTGTCCTGTTCTCCCGACTAGGACACCTAACGTTTCTACCGAACCTGGCATTTTCACTCGGTCAGCTTTGGATCTCAGTCTCCTAGCCCTTACATGAGGCCCTTATCATGGGCTGTGTCAGTGGCATCCTCTTACCTGGGAGGGTAGACGTGGGGTCTGGTTATCCCACACACACTGCCTACGCTAAGGAGACTGGAGGCTCCCAGCTGTTAGATCTTCCTTTTTTTGCAGTAAAAGGTCTCCTTTCTTTCACTCCTGAATTTTTCTAATCATGAGGAGGTATCAACTGATAAAAGGAAAGCTGACAAGGGCCTTTGGTAATCACTTCTGCACCTTTCATTGGGGATCCACCTTCCCATGACCATCTGAGAGTATAACCTACCAGCCATCCCTGTTTCTTGGGCAACCGAGGCAGAGAGAGGACCTTGTAAGGGGACGCTGCAGAGCTGGTCACCCAGCACGCTTCTCTCCTGTAGGTGGCAGTCACTCGGGGTGCGACAGGGAAACCAGCTTGGGGATGAGGCTGTGCTGAGAGGTTGTGGACTGAATGGACAACTACTGTGGGTCAAGTGCTTTATAGGAGAGCCGCTAAGACAAGGGGAACCATGCAGTGGACACCATGGCCTTACCTTTACATCGATATCCTTGTTTGATCACTCCCCAGAGCTGTAAGGCAAACGAGACAATGCGCCAGTCATTCATCTGGTAGGAGGCTAGGCGCTGACTTCCATTCTTCATTTTCCCTCATGCTGTTTTCTACCTCAAGTGGGAGGGGAACCTCGTTTATCTCTCATGTGTATTGTCCCTCCTGACCTTAAGTTGACAACAGGAAAAGTTTGTACTCATGAGAGTCAAATGTTCTTAAGCTCATTATAGTAGATTTATGAGCCAGGCCTTCCCCAGGCCTGAGTGGATGAGTCATGGGACAAACTGGCTTCTCGGGACTCCAGGCTAAAGAACAAGGATGGGGAATCCTGGGCTCAGGGACTGGGTTTAGGAGGAAACTGTTGGTCAGGGGTGGGACGGAGGAGGGGCAGAGCCCAGATGACGGGCAGTTTCCTTCACAGTGGGGACGGGTGAGGATGTCTCACATTTCTTTTTTCTAACACTGGGAACAGCATATGATATCCCCAATTCAATATTTATTTCTTCACCATTTACCCAAGGCTTCAACGCACCAGAGGGAAAATAAAGCAGGAAGGAATGGGAACCAATGAGTGCACGTAAAACCATGCACGTGAGGACTAGGCTGTTACAGGTGTTTGCTTGGGCTGTAAGCTGGGATACGTTATTCAGGGTTGTGAGGTTTGTGCCTGGCTGAATCATTTCACCTGTCTCGTCCTCTTCCCCAGTTCAACCCTGAAGCATTCTAAGAACCACTCACAAATCCAGCACAGTTGTCACAGAAGGTAGGCTTCAGGTAGGTTGTCTCTTGGAAGTTGTGAGGAAAGCCCAGGCCCAGCTTAGAGTAGATGGAGCTGGCCCTCATGAAGTAGGCCGTGATCTCGTCCCTGCTGATAAGGCCTTCCCTGCCAGCAGATGACACGGACAAGGGTGTGAGGGGGAAGCAAGGGTGGCTTCGAGCCTTAGAAACGCACCTTTCTTTTTCTCCTTGGGTGGTGGTACAGTGTATATTACCTGGGAATCACCTCCATGAGCCCTCCTCTTAATAAGCATCATGAAGAGCAAGTAATGAGTAGGTGACACAGAATTACTTATCTTTACAGTTGTTCTTTGGCTAAACTAGGTTTTCCTACCTAATTTAACCACTATCTATAGGACTTGAAAAAGAAATGATGGCAATTGTTTGTATATATAGAGAAATACCTTATGCTGCAGTTTCTGCCTTCTGACAGTACACAATATATAACTGGAACCCACCAGCCATACATTTTATTTTATACAAGCACCAAGATAAAGCTTATGTAACCGTGCAAAAAGTAAATATGCAAATTATTAATAAGTACTAGTTCCTCATAACCTATAAGGACAAAAAGAAGGAAGAACTAAACTTTTTAAAATCTATAGTTGACTATTCCTAAACTGGTTTCACTTTATTGTGGTCCAAACCAAAGCCAGACAAGCAATCTGATGGTTGTTCTCTTAGCCCTAATATCTTAGCCCAAATATTCATTAAGTGATCACAGCAGCAACACATCCGAGTAAAATTGTTCTAGTGACACGCCCATAAACTGTTTCTACCTAAGGGCTTATACACAAACCCTCACCTGTCTTTGTCCATCACACAGAAGGAAAATGGAAAACTTGCAGCAATCTTTTCAAATTCTTCCTGAGAAATGTATCCATCTTGGTCATGATCATAGTTCTTGAAGACAGACTGTGAAAAAAGGAATTTCTTTGGTGATTGCCAAAGAGAAACCAATCATTTCTCCCTTTAGCCAAATGACAAGGGCCAGACGGAGCAGCTGATAAAAGCCTCTCCTCAGCCTGAATGAGAGGACCCAGGAAACATGCTCCTTAGGCTGCTGCGCAGATGCAAGGGTCACATCCCAGGTCTTTGCTGGTCCCAGAATCTGGAGGGTGACCAGGTGCTTTCGATCCGTTAACCTGTCAATTATCCATCACCCTGGCTGGCACACTCCTTGCTCACTGCACAGAGGGGTGCTCTACCTCCACTCTGCCCTTTGGTTGCTCAGCTCAGACTGCACCGTCTCTGAAGCTCCTACTAACCAGCTCCGCTGGGAGTGCCCCCTCCCCCTCAATTTTACTCATTGTCCTGTCACTTGCTGGCTCTTACTTGTCTGTGAATGCTGGAATGGTCCACAAGGATAAATGCAGAAATATGAACCTATGGACAGCCCCCTCAGCATTTAGCACAGTGAATTGAATCAAACAGTGCCAAAATTCTCAAATTTAGGTTCTTCTTGTCTTTTCTTATACTTAAACCTTTCCCAACATCTCTCTGCCCCCACGTCAACTGGCAACCTTTAAATATATACTCTACTGCTAGGTCTTTTAAGAGGAGGCACAACTCCCCGCCATGAGACCAAGGTGTGTTGGTAAAATGTAATTTCTGTTCTGCAGCCACGATGGGAGAAGTGGTTCCCTGTGCTCACATAGGAACAAGTTCCAAGCTTCTCACCTTGTGTTTCTACCACTGCCCTCCCCCTCTCCCAGCACACAAAATGAAGCCGACAGTGCCCAGCTATTGTCTGCTGAAACAGCGGTACTTACATCCACCATCCTCTGGACGTGTTTGCTTATAGTCTTTGGGTCAGGTTTGGGAGACACTCCGGAGGCCCAGTCCACGACTACTGGGGGCTTTGAAGGTGTTAGTGGCTAAAATGAGATAAGCGGAGAAATCCCCATGATTATAAGACTCTTCCTCTCCCATTACCTGATGGCTGCGTCTATCTGAGGGCTACGAACACCCACCTGTGTGTGTGGTAAGGCGCAGACAGCCCATGTCACGGAAATTTAGAACAGTAATCTTGGCTAACAGTTACTGTGCTTTATGGTTTACGAAGTGCTCCTCACATACATTATCTCTGTCTACAGATAATTTAAAATTCTCAATTTACCTGAGTTTCAGTTCCCTCTCCATTAAACTCTGTCAAAGCTATCAACAGAGAGTAACAAGAAGAAAATCTGAGGCCTGGACAAGCTGAGATGGATTCCATCCTTAAATATTTAAGACTTGGCCCACATTAGTTTCTTCTAAAAATGAGAAGGTACCCTTTCCATTGAAATGCCTTCTAACATTCTGAAAATGAATCTACCAGTGAACATCTTTCATTACAATAGGAAGCTAGAACTTGATCTTCTGTAAGAGACAATGAAATTTAGCCACCTGGCAGGTCAGCTGAATTCCTTATGTGGAGGCACTCTCTCCCCTTGAGGACCACCTGTTTGGGGGCAGGGAAGCTTCCCAGGACATGGGATTCCTGGTCCTCCAGGAGGAAAACTGAAATTATTAACCTGCCTACAGGAGAGGCAGGGCCAGGTAACCTGTGAAGCTCGGGCTGTGCTCTCTGAGGACGTCTCTGCACAAAGCTGAGGGCAGACTCCTCTTTCTGACCCATGTGACTCCCGGATGATGGGGCTTTTCTATCCGCCAAGCTGGAAATCCTCTGAAGTGTGCATACTGCTCTCATTATCATCAACAAATCACAGAAGGGGAAACAATGATGTGGGGACACTTTGTAATAAATAGGGAGAGGCCACTCCAGCCCAAGATGCTGCCTCCCTTCTCTAATCTGTAAACCACTGACTGAGTCCACTGCTCATTCTGATGCCCTGAGGCATCTAGTTATCCACTGTTCACAGGAGTCTTATCCCTTCAACCACAGGCTATTTATGGTCAGGAACCAGTCCTCATATGTACACTGACGCTTTCTCTGTTCCTAGCACAAGGTTGGGCACACAGTAGAAACAATACACTTATTAACTAAAAGTTCCTTCAGATAAATGACCTTGATAGGAAGCTTGTAAAGCACCCCTTACGTGCAGGAGCCGTAATATGAGAAACTCACCGGGGCTTTGTGGTTCCTCGGTTCCCGGGCGTAGGAGAGCTCATAGATTTCATCCTCAGTGTAGTACAGATCCAGAGATAACTGCAGATCAAAGGAGAACAGGGTTAATTGCTAGGATGCTGTTTGCCTTTGCCCAGGGATGATGTGTTTCTTAGTTCTTCCTCTCTAGTGTTTTAGTCTTCTAGGCTCTTAATAGTTTGCTTTTAAATTTTTAAATTCACAAAGTTTGGAGGGTGTAACACCTACTGTTGCAATACCACAAGCACTAGTTCTTTTTCCTTAAAATGTTTTTAAATTTTGGAAACTTCTCAAGATGCTCTCATTTAAACTACAGTATCTAAGCCTTAGGCCCTATCTGGTCAGATGGTCCACACTTCACTTGTTCTCTCCCAAAGCAGGCAGATGATCTGAAAGGACAGTTTGCATGGCCTGATACTATTGAAATTTGATTCTAGCAACAACCCAGTTTAAATGATAACATGTATTAAATGATATTAAGACCTAAGGAGTTCCATTTATCTTAGAACTATAAAATTTTACAGGTGAGAAGTCTTAGAAATAATCTTAACCTAGAGTCTATGGATGGGCTTCAGGCGGTTCAGAACTCAAAAACATGCATGTTTTTGCATATATGGCTTATGTATATTTTTCTGGGAAGAATGTTCACAGCTTTCATCACAGGGTTTGTGATTCCAAAAGGTTAAGATTCCGTACATCTTTCCACAGATGATGATGTCAAAGGCCGAGACCTGTCAAGGTCACCTTGGCAGTTAGTGAAAGGCTAGGATTAGACACCAGCTGGAAGTGAAGCCTGGGGCTCTATCAGAATCATCCTGTGATGTAGGAAGAGGCTATAATAATTATTCCATTCTGCAACAAAAGCAGATAAAAAATGGTATCATTTTAGAACTACAAGAAAAGTTAGAAGTCATCCCAGACATTACAAATCCCGGATTTTACAGAGGAGGAACCCGGACTTAGAGTCACACGGCCAGTGAACTGCAGGTCCGGAAGGGAAGGAGTTCGTCTGGTCTCCCCTCACCCAAAGGGCAAATCCTGGTCTCTTGCACCGTTACAAGTGTGTCCGCCTTCCCTTGGCTCAAATGCTTCCAGGAGCAGGGATCTAAGCCAGTGGTGGCAGGGGCCAAATAATGAACCTGTTTTTCTTTCCTTTTTTTTTTTTTTTTTTTTTTAAATTCACTGCCTTGTCCTTTTTTTATGAGAACACACTGTCTCCATGTCTTACCAAGCCTGTATCCTGATTTGCTATCAGCCCCTCCCAGACAGCTTAGGTCTGCTTTTGCAGGGAGAGGGAAATGCCCCGGGAGTGAAAGGGCATAGACCCTCTGGGTCTAAATCCAGGCTCTGCTGCTTAATGTGTGGTCCTCAGGCAAGTAATGTCTGTGCCGCAGTGTCCCCATCCAGAAAAGGGAGATAACAGTATTTACTTGCTACAGTTTTCATGAGGATTAACTGAGCTCTATTCGGTAGGGTGCACAGCGGCACCTGGCACACAGCAGGGGCTCAGTACTCATCTCCAGGGGGAGCTCACCGTCAGCAGGTGCACCAAGTCCTTGTTGGCCTCCAAGGGCGGGGCCACCTCTTGCAGCTGGACCAACTCGTTGATGTGATTATAAAGGGCCAACAGCTTGTGGACGTTCACCTTCCCGTCCTCCAGGTAGTCGGGCATGGCTTCATACAGGGAAATGAGGTCCTTGAGGTGCACCCCCAGGATGGGGATCTTAAAGTGGGTGCACTCTCCGTAGGCGCGCCGGTAATTGTCGTAGTTTCTGCAGGAGGACAGCAGCTCTGTCATCTCACCCAGGACCTACAAAGCAGAGAAGAGACCCCGTCACAGGCACCCTCCAGGCAGGCCGTACTGGTGTGGCTCACAAATGCTTGCTGGGTTGCCCCTCGAGGAGGACGCATCGACACCGGTCCTAGGAATGCTAAGGCGCCCGGAGGAGGCAGGAGCACTGACCTTATTGATTTCAGGCGGGACATGTGAACTTGTCTCTTTGAGCCTGGAGATTGAGCTGTGACAGAGCCCGCCTATCACAGCCATCAGTGTATTGAAGTTCTGTAGTTGGTGGAGCTTCTGTGACACACAAAACAGATGGAGAGTCACTGTGCATGTCAGTTACATGCGGCTTAGAGGCTGCCTCTTGGCTCTGAGCCCCATCTTCCTTCTGGTCAAAGACGAGTGATCAGCTGTTGGCAATTTCCTGTTCTTAGCCTTAATTCCAGACCAAGCCAGGCAAGGTGTTACATCTCCCTCCCTTTCTGCTGCTGGTCTTTGGACCACCGTCTAGATCAGTGGCTTCTAAGAACCACCCAAAGTACTAGTTTGACACACAGATTTTTGGACCCAAAAATATTCCGATTGCCTGGATCTGGGGTTGAGCTTAGGGATCTGTGCTTTTAATACGCCTCTAGTTAATATCAGAGCAGGTGGTCCCTGTACCAACTTGGAGAAACACTGGTCTAGACCATCTGGAGCTGGAAAAATGTTTCATTAAGTGTAACCTTTTATATCCTTCACACCAATTAACCAGACTTATTTTTGAGGGCAAGGACTTTGTCTTAACTCCTGTGCAATGCCAGTGCCTATACATCAGTAATTGGAATAGAGAAGTTAGAATCTCTGGTGAATTTCAAATATGTATCCATATAGTACTGCAGGCCCTCAACATCATTTCAGCTCATTTCAGTCACTGTCATTTCATTGTAACGATGATGCCACAGGACACTAACTCTTGTTTATATCAATTAGCCTGTGGTAAAATTGGTTTCATTATATGTCGTATCACTTAAAGTCACAGAACCTATTGATGATGTTAAGTGAGGACTTACTGTACCATTTTCCTCTTATCAAATGTTTACACATCGCTGCTCAATCATTAAACCCAGACATTTAACACAGCAGGAACTCAAAGACCTAAGAGGACTCCAGCCCCAGGCAAACCTGGAATTACTCTTTCCTTTGCCATGTGGGCCAGATTTGAGGAAACAAGGTAGGCTGGTAAGCATTTGAAAAATGTTAAAGGTCTAAAATAGATCTAAAACCGTATTCTGACCCCTGAGATGGCCCTCTCCACATTGCCCTCGTATGGGAAATAGAAAAGTCACCATGTCTAGATCTCAGGACAGTTTAAGGTGCACTAACCCCACTGTGGTTCAGGAGGGAAAAGGCTTGGTGGGGCGGGGGAGGAGACGGGGTAATTTACCTCATAGCCCAGGCCAGACTTGTACTCCATCACTCACCTGAGCCACCTGGATGAACTTGATGAAGACTTCAGCTCGGAGCTGCGGGGTGGGGCGGCTGAGCACCATCAGCTGCACCCACTGGGAGATGCCGTTGCACAGGGCAATGGACCGCTCCATGGTGGGGTTCTCCTTCACACAGCTGTTCACTAGGTAATTCTGATAATCAGAGAACTGGGGAGAAAGAAACTTATCAGGATCGTGGCCCTGGTGTTCTGGGAGACCTGAGGAGCATGTCACCTCTGCTCAGCTGATGGCTCAGAACTGCTCTGGGACAGAGGAGCTCTCGGCCCTCCTCTCCTGCCATGTTGTCTGCTTGGCTCAAAAAAAAATGGTGGGGAGGAAGTCTTTCTTACTTAGCATGGTCTCCACCAAAAGTTGCTGGGCGTAAGTGGATGTGTGCTAGGCAATCCAATACATCAGTTAATCCAAATGTTGTATTTGGGTTAATACTGATACTTCTAAGTTCTAAAGAATATAGAATAGAAGGAAAGTTTCAATCTCTCTTTCTCCTTTCATTTTCTCTGTCTCCCTCCTCTCCCTTACCTTAAGAATGGGATGATAAAATCTGACCTATCTAGCATATGGAATTTTTATGATCAAACATCATAATATGTGAAAGCACTTCAGTGTTTCAAAGTGCTACATAAATGTGAGGTGGCGCTAATGGGATAATTATGAACTTCATGCTAAAGCAAACCTGTTTGGATTTCCTTTTAACTTGAACAGAAGCCAAGTGAGTTGGGAACACGAAACCTGGTTAGCTAATTCTACCACCATTTCCCAACTGGACAATAGCACTGACTATGGTTGACAATGAAACAGCATATACGAAACTGGAAAAATCCCAGATCACTGCATAAGTAACAACTGTAGCTCTTGTGTCCTTGTCACAAACAATCCTGCTCAAATAGGATAACCAAGAGGGCGTAGGCTACCTGCTCCAGTGCTCGATGGAAGTTTTTGGTGCTGCTCCCCACCTATTTCCAGCTCTCCGCTTCAGAACTTGCCCCTGTGAAATCAGGTGTGGCCATGTGCCATAGTTTAACCAGTAACACGTGAGTGGAAGTGACGTGACTTTCGAGGGAAAGCTACAAGAGCCAGTGAATGATTTGCCATGTTGCCTTTCCACCGCTGTAGACAGCGTGGAAATCCGTGTCAAGGTGAGACCTCCCACATCTGGGTCCCTGAGTGACTGATCAGCAAAGGCCCCTGCTGACCCATGTTAGATCTGTAGTGTGAATGAAAGATAAACTTTTGCTTCGTTGAGCCACTGAGATTGTGGGGGAGGGACTCGGGGAGTTGTTACTTCAGTATGCATACCTTAGTCCTGCCTGACTTGTAATTCAATAATGAGAAAACAATCTAAATAAAATAAATGCAAATTAACTGATTCCTGTTTTACTGGGCTGTTATTGCTGATGGGTAGCAAACAATGAGTAGGAACAAAACTACTCCTTAGGAGAGACTCGCAAAGCAAAAGTCTTAACTGGTTCTAAGAGAAAATGCCCATGCTCATTCTAGTGAATACATTTATGTACCCCTCCCACTATAACATATTGAATTAACTTGTTTGTTAAAAGAATCACCCCAGTAAGTTCCCTCACCCCACCCTCCAAAGCATTATAATAAAAAGAAAATATCAAATGCCGCTCAATTCACAGCAGGGAGAAATTTCCCTCCAGTCTCATGTTGGAGGGAAAATTATTGTTTGGGAAAACTGTTGAGGAAAACTGACTATGGTTGACAACGAAACAGCATATACAAAACTGGAAAGATCCCAGATCACTGCATAAGTAACGACTGTAGCTCTTGTGTCCTTGTCACAAACAATCCTGCTCAAATAGGATAACCAGGAGGGCGTATGTTTAGGGAAAACAAGAAAGTATCCCAGTCTTCTATGAGGGGGCCATACCATTCAAAAGAAATTAAGCTTGGAACTAAATTTTTGTTTTGCAAATAGAACACTGCCTCAATGGCAGGAGAGCCCTGGTAGGGGACCCCAGGCTCAGAGTCCTTGCTCTACACTGATTTTTCACTTCTGCCTCTGCTGATCCGAGCTCTGGCATCAAGCAGGCATCCTGTTGGCCTGACTGAGCAGCCCTGCCAGTCAGGCCCCAGCACAGCTCAGATTTCCAGTGTGATAATGGCTTCTTTCAGTGCCCCTCCCTGTGACACGGGAAGGCACTGCCAAATGGCAACTCCCTAGGTGGAGCTTCCAAGCTGGGGCCTGTGGGCCTGTGGTTCTGTCTGAGGGGTGCCATGAAGGGACTGGGGGGGGCTAGTGCAGATTAATGCTTGGAGACATTTCCAAATGGGACCCGGGGGGTTCCAGGCTGCCTGGGCAAACAGCTGTGTGAACACAGGACAGCTGTCAACATGATGGGAGAAAAGACGAAATACCCTCTGTAACTTGGTTTGCATGTCTCTTTCCAGATACTATGGGGCTCAATAAGTTGGTGCTGAGTGACTGACACCTGCATGTGATCTGAGCCCCAGCCCTGGCTCTAATAAGCTGTCTGACCTTGTTCTAACCACCCCTCAATCCAGGGAGCACAGGCCAGTCTAAGAAATGCAGCCAACAACTAGTTCGTCTGTATTTTTGGAACAAAGCTGAAGACTGCATCTTTCAGTCAGAGTGGGGGCTGAGTAAGGGTAACATTTCTCAGGAAAGCATGCTGGCAGGTGAGGGAGGGCCTGTTGGCATCTGACGTGTTGACAAGTTCTCTCCTTTGGGATCAGTGTTTTTTGGTATCACATGTAGTTTTAAGAACCAAGGTCTGGGTCAGTATAGTTTATCTCTAGAATCATGGGTGACTGCTGGGCCATGTCATCACCACTTCAAGGATGTAGGTATATTCTGGGCTAGACCAGTAACGTCTACTTTATTCTGGGAATTCCCAGAGCCATTCAAAACCTATCCTAGAATAAACTCAAACTCTCAGAGGACATATCTCCATTTGGGGGGGAGGGACATTTTTAAAAGTTTTTCGGGAAGCCTAATGATTATCAGGGGGTAAAAGGGGTGAGTGTGTGTGTGTGTGTGTGTGTGTGTGTGTGTGTGTGTACATTCACGTATGCATGTGTGCCCACCATATTGTCACTTGAGCGAGTGATAGGGTGGGGCAGGCACAGAGAGCGGAGGGAAGCACAGCTAGAACAAAGGATTCAGAGCGTACTGATTCTCTGGACTGTCCGACGTCTGATGGGAAAGCCTACCATCACTGAAGGAGCCTTTAGAGCAGCGGTTCTCAACCTTTCACAGGGGTCGCCTAAGACCATAGGAAAACACATATTTTTGATGGTCTTAGGAACCGAGACACTGCTCCTCTATCCGTCTCCAGGCCCACATGCAGATACGCCCACATACGAGTACCCGGCGACCCCTGTGAAAGGGTCGTTCGACCCCCAAAGGGGTCGCGACCCACAGTTGAGAACCGCTGCTCTAGAGAGTTTGGAGGGGGATGGGCTGTTGAATTTCTCTGCTTATGTTCAGAAATATCCCAGGGAGGGCCGGCCGAGTGGCGCGATGGTTAAGAGCTGGCTTGGGATGCAAGAGGGCCCCGGTTCAAATCCCACATATGAGGGCCAGTGACACTGCCCTCTACAGCTAAGATGCTGAACAACAGTTCAGCCTGGAGCTGGGCTGCCGTGAGTCGCTGGCGACAGTGTAGGCTGCAGCCTCTGCTGCAGTGGGTTGCCATGGGCTACCATGTGTAGCCAGCAGCCGCAGTGAGCGGCCGTCCAGAAGCCGGCGACTGATCTGCCTCGCCCGGGAAGAGCGCAGTGATGGTGCCAACTTGGGCCAGTGAAGCAACATCCTCCACAACTAGACTGAAGAACAAAACGACAGCAACTTGTCTGTTCCCCTTCCCCCAATTCCTCAGCGCTGTTCCCATCCCCCAATTCCCCAATAAAAATCTTTAAAAAAAAAAAAAAAAAGAAATATCCCAGGGAAGTCGGGTACATACGGATATCCTCCGGAAGGACTTGAACTCCAGGTAAGTGAGGTGCTCCGATAGCTCTTCTGGTTCCAGATGGTCAAAGAGCAGGGAGACTTTCCGTTTCTTGCTGGTGTTTGATTTTATCCTTTGAGTAAGTTTCCTGGACCAGTCACGGGAATTGCTTTTGTGGTTAAATATGAAAGACGATGAGGAAAAATTAGAAATCAAAATAGATTTTTAATGCAAGTAAACCCATTAATGTTTCCCACAAGAATATACAAAAAATCATTAGCTAAGTTTCCTTGGCCAAAACAATGCATTAACAGAGTTTCTTCAAATCAATTGTTTTCTATGGTGGCGACCAGGAAGCCTTGTTGGTTTTCTATGAACCTTCTGAAAGCGCCATGGGAACTGGGTAAAATGCGTTGGCTTTAAGGCCATGGGAAGGACAGAGCCTCAGGCATTGGCCAGTTTCCTGGCCTTTGGTCCCGGCTCCTTCACCTAGCCCTGGCATGTCTGTTGTCTCCATGCCTACTGTGTGTTTCTTCATAGTCATAAGGGTGATGGGGACTCTATCTGGTTGGAAATCTCAAGGTAAGAGGGCAGTTTTCATGCCAGAAGAGCACAGAGAACCACACAGAGGAGATGTCATGCTGCACAGAATTTTGTGTAGGAACGTGTGGCCACTCTGGGCAGACCTGTGGCATTTTCCTCAAATGTCCCCAGCCACTGAAATGACCAAGGAAGCCTAGGCATCCCTAGAGTACCCACCCCCATTTTCTTGTAATCAACCCACGTGTTTCTGATTCAGTTTCAATTTCCTACACGAAGGAGGCAAAGGGAAGCAGCTGTTTGGCGAGGTAGCAGCTTGCAGGTCTGTTTCCCACACTGGTATTCCTGAGAACCTTCTCTCTTGACAGAAGGGTCCTATGGTCAAATGAGTCTGGGAAATGCTACAAATTCTATAGCTCCCTTGGCCAACGAGCATGTTACACACTCTGAGATGCACTGCAAAAGGCAAGTTTAACTCACCATTTCTCAAATATATCTGGTCAGACCATATTCCACTGATGAATTCCTAAACAATATTCTCTGGGAAGTATTGGTAGAGGAAAGTCAGCTAGGGGCATATTGGGACAAGGAGATTTGGGTTTGAGAACAGCCCTGGGGTCTAAGTTCTGCATCTTTCTATTCTTTTTTTTTTTAAGCTGAGCCATCCTGTCACCTGTTGGCAGCTCAGCGGCTGCTCAGCTGTTGCTCAGAGCTCAAACTCTTGAGTGAGCTCTTAACCAACTGAGCCACTCGGCCGGCCCTAGTTCTGCATCTTTAAAATGAGGAAATTGTTACTTGAAAATCTCTTACTTTATAAGTTTTATAATTCTAAGCAAGAAGTACAGAGAAACCAAACTGATAAATAGATTTATTTGGGACAATGAAATATGATTTTGAAATCATTTTTATACGGCTGTGGCACAGAGAAGGAAGACCTTTACAGTCCAGCTTCCGCTCTGCCACTAACTTAGCTAGCTGAGTCACCCCAGCCGAGTCAAACATCCTTGCTGAGCCTCAGTTTCGCAGAAGGTTGAATGAAATGATCTCTAGAATTTGTTTCAGTTCTAGAGTTCTATATCCTAGGGATCTGCACTATTCCAAAATAAAGCAGCCACATTGCAAAAATCTAAGCATACAATGTGTGCATTCCATTCTCCCAAGTTAGGAAAGGCAGTCATTTTTCCAGAGAGGACCAACCTCATCTATAAGAAATCCAAGGAATAATGTGAAATATTCCTGAGATCTCATCCAGCTCTGGAAGTCTAAGTGTCTTTCACAGAATCCACAAATGCTATAAGGCCACACTGCTCAATGCGTTTTTCAGCAGTCCCTTCCCCATGTTCAAGTTTGGGGGGCCTCCGGGCATTAGCTGCTGAAGCAGCAGAGTTTAGTCACTGCACTTTCAGTTTCTCATGATCTGGATACATTTTAGTCAATGATCTTGCTACCTGATTTCTTTTTGACTGGGACTTAACATTTTTTTCTGCTCTTGAATATTAGTCACCTACAGCTTTATCACCAGGGGGCTTCTCTGCTTGCTTGTTAAATGTCAAGCTTTTCACTTTGGGAAGGCAATTGGAACTTGCCTGTCAGAGGGGCTTCTGACAGTGGTGAGAGAGCAGCGGTCACAGCCTCACAGCCGGGAGTCAGAGCCTAGCTGAGCAACCTGGATTGTGTGTTACACGAGGGAGGTGGTTTTGAAAGATTCATCAAAACCTTGACACTCACATTTGAGTTGTGTCAATCAGGCGGCAGTGTAACTCCTCACCATTAGCTTTCACTAGTTCCTGAAACTCCTCCATAGTGTTTGTCAAGCTGGCGTCCATTTTAAACATGATCCAGAATTCTGTTATCCAATACCTATGAAGTGGAAGTTAAAAAACACAATCCAAAATGAAAGGCAAGGACTCATACTTTGGTGGGTTCTTCCCACAAAGAGTACTCAGAAAAGACAGAGGCTGGGTTTTCCTTCTGTATTCCTGGGAATATAGAATATGTAAAGGGCTGGGGTGAGGTTTAGGGTGAGGGGAAGGGAAGAAAATCCCCCAAGTCTCTGCCCCTCCATATACTAAATGCTCTGATAGGATAAGGCGTATCATAGTCAAAGGAGCCATGACACAATTGTGTATCAGAGATAAAATTATAAATAAGTCAACTACAGATAAACCAGATGTCCAAAGATGGGGCAATGTATCTGTAAATTACACTTTATCATTTCTTAGAATATTACATGGCCATTAAAAATAATGTTTACAAAAAGTTTTTAATGACTAGAGTACTATGATATAATAAAGTTAAGTGAAAACTATAAGATACAAAACTACATGTGTTTTGATCTCAACTATGTTTTAAAAATCTGCTTGGAGAAAAAGACAAAGGAGCTACATCAAAATAGGTAGTTGGATATGAGTCATTATTACTGTGGTTATATTCTTTTCTGTAGTTTCAAAATGCACAAATATGAGCTATATTACTTTTATAACTAGGGATAAAAACAAACGAGATAATGTCTCCCTAAATCATTTGATACCAAAATGCCATAAGACTGAGAAAAACATTTGTATAAAATATTAAGCTCAGGCGCACTAGGAAAAATGGACTGCTCTGTCAAGGAATTTTCAGTATTAACGACTGCCTGCCTAGAGGTGGTTTATAGATAGATGGTCAGGAAATGGAAAGGCATGGAGGACAAGAACCAGTGTCACTTTGCTGCAGTCTTTCATTTCACCCCACTCCACAAAGCCCCACGCGCATGCAGAAACATTACCTTACAAAATAGCAGATCTTCAGGCAAAGCCCTGGGGAATTCTTTGCCAAGGCGTCCTTATACGTGGGCTGTGGTTAAGGCAAATGGAAGCCTCTGTTACAGAAACCAAACAACTTCTCACCTGTGGAGGTATTTTCTAAAATTACCCCTCCCCCCAATAATTACTACTTTTTTTTTTTAATTGGGAACAGTGTTTTTCCAGGACCCATCAGCTCCAAGTCGAGTCGTTGTTTCAATCTAGTTGTGGAGGGTGCAGCTCAGTGGCCCATGTGGGAATCGAACCAGCAACCTTGGTGTTATGAGCACTGCGCTTTAACCAGCTGAGCTAACTGGCCACCCCAACTTTTTTAATGACAATGTTTTCTTATCTCTCCAGCCATAGGATAAAAAGCAACTTGATGTGTGCAGCTGTGGTGATTTCCTATTTGGCCCATGCTGAAATAGCTTATGGAATGAGGCTGCAGCATTTCCTTTGCAGAAGTAGAGCTAGGAAGTCAACAGCATGGAAAGGCCCCAGCACAGGTGACCTAAAAGAAATGAAGAAGGGGCAAATGACCTCCTGCCCATGCCCGGACACCAGGAGTCCGACTGAGACAAAAAGAGCAGCCCGTTCTTATCTTTTAAAATTGATAAACAATTTATACAGTGAATGAGAAGAAAGGGAAGGAATAAATATTCAGATATATTGTCATGATTATAAGAATAATATGAAAATGATAATCTATGCCTAGAGGATGTCAGTAGGTTGACCTTGTACGTTGTGATGGCAGGTCAAACAAAGCCATGTGAATAATCCAAAATACAAATGAAGATCACATTAAGGCTCCGTATCATTAGAAATATTCTACGAGAATGGTGCCATCCTAAGACTATGAAAGAACAGCAAAATTCCATCATGCTCACATGTCTCTACAGATATTTGGAAAGAATATTGATTTAAGAGGGAAAGAAATGCAAAATTCAATCCAGGGATGAATCTGGGTGGGTCCTATCATCTTCTGTCAACAGACTGAGGAATCAGACTACGTGGGCTGTGTGCCCTGCAAGGTTCTGCCCTCTTTCTCTTGTAAAAACTGCCATAATGACTGCAATAACAGGGCTCAGTGAATTCCAGCACGGCCCTTGAGAGGAACCCACGGAGAAGCTGGTGGAGATGTCCATTAACTGGGGCAGCAGTTTTCTTCCTTCAGTGTGTATGCATATTATAACACCTGGGAACTTTAGAATTAAAACTAGTAAAGTGAAAGACAGTCCAAATAATGTTACAGCTCTTTTTTATTAGGAGGGAGTCTGCGTTTTGAGATGTTCTATGTCTGCAAAGTTTAAGAGCATATTAGAATGATAGCCTTGACACTTCAATTTGGAATATATAATGAAGTGCTTTAGACCGGTGGTTTTAAATTGAAATCTTATGAATCTTATGCCTAGCTTTGGAATGTCTAAGATAATGTTAGCTTTTCTGTTTATAACTTTACTAAAGTTATAAAAACTATTTAGAAATCAGGAAGTCCTCTGAATTATTTAAACATAATCTAAAATGTAAAATTCATAATTGTAGTTTAAAACCATTGAAAATGTTTAATTAATTAGCATTGTCCCAATTAACCAAACATTTTCAAGGCCCCATAAAAATGTTTGGTGGAACATGCAAGACCTATAGAAAGAATAATAAAATCTGCAAGCTAAACTTGAACCCCTAAAGAAAAGCTATGGTTGTGAAATGTGCACCTTTAATAAAATAACTTTAATTTTAGAAACCGACATTTTAATACTGGGTTGTTGGAAAAGCCATGATGCATTTTTGCAATGAAAAACATAGAGAAAATATGTCATGACTTTTCTGACAACCCAATAGATTTACTACCTATAAAACCTGTCCTTGAGGGCACCAAAACAAAACAAAAACAAAACCACAACATCACACATGCATCCACGAAGGTGATAAACATCAGCCCAGGCACTGGCAAACTTCATGAAGTAACGGGTTCTCATACCTCCCTTTCTTCGGGCATGAAAGATAGGAGTGAGAATCAGATGACTGTCTTTATGCCACATCCTAAGAAAATGCATCCCCTCAATGCAAAGAGATTCAAGCCTCAGAAACATTCTAGATAAAGATGTCTTAGAGTCTATATTTTTATTATTTGATCCACTTGTTGAAATTTTTATTCTTCCTTTCGAAGAGGACTAACGAGGAAGGCACAAAACCCACATTTCTCTTTTAAAACAACTAAGTGGACATATAAATCAACATGGCGCCTTTTTACTATGGGGTTTATCTTCCTCTTGGTGGTTCCTTATCTTTCTCTTCCAATGTCCCTTCAGCAGCATAAGGTGGCTGTGGGGCAGTGTCTTTGTAAATCCAGTCGGTTTACATTAGAGTGCTGAGCCCTTGCGGGCATGCAGAGTGCCAGGCAGAAGGGCAGGACCTCCCAAGGTCATGGGCGCCCCTGGGCCATTGCAAAGGCATCTGGTGAGGCAGGGCACTGCTTTGTCACTTGAGATTAAGCCAATGCTCCTAACACAGGCCAGTAGTAAGAGGCGCAGGCATCTGCCACCTAGGGTAAGCGTCCTTCATACCAGGAGTTCGGCTTCACACCTTTTCCTGCTTTTCATAGTTAGTACTTACTGGGAAGTACCAGGGCAGTTCTGACTGTATCTTTTCAGGCATCTGAACTATTCAAAGCATGTTTTAAAATGTCTCTCTCTCTCTCTCTCTCTAACAGTGGAAAAACAGGAAACCTTCTGAGCTTACTGAACGAACAATTCTCTTACTTCCAATATAGAGAACAGGGAAACTGAGCGCGAACAAAAAATCATTTTGCCTTCAATGTTTAATCTGGGTTTCAGTGACGGGGAAGTCTTCCTTCATATTCTCTTCTGAGAATCCCTTCCCCCACCCCACATCTGAGCAAAGCCCAGATTTCTCACCTCAAAGTCCTGACAGATATGAAAGAGTATCCCCGTGCTTTGCACCCACCGTAATGCAACATTCATTGCGTCCTACCTTGAGATGGCCCTAAGCCAGGGGTCGGCAAACTGCAGCTCGCGAGCCACATGGGGCTCTTTGGGTATCTTCCGTCTCAAAAGTTTGCCGACCCCTGGAAGAGCCAATCCTGTCCCTCACAACAATTTAAAAATTATTCAAGAGCCATAAATATATTTTTACATAATCACCATTATGTCAATAATATCCTTTAAAAATTTTATAAATGAAGCTATCATAGTTTTATTTTCATTTTCAATTTTACTTCACAGCCACATGTACGTACCCAAAGAGCCGCATGTGGCTCGCGAGCTGCAGTTTGCTGACCCCTGGCGGCTCTTCCGTCTCAAATGTTTGCGGACCCCTGCCCTAGGTTAAGTTCTAGAGAAACAAAGATAAACAGGCCTTGCTTCCTGCCCTTGAGGGACATACAGTCTAGTGGGGGAGACAATACGGAAACAGGTCATTTACAATACAGTGGGTGTATTTTTAAATATATGTTAAATATATTTATATTTTTTCTTATAGTAACTTGTGATTTAATTAATTTTCAGTACGCTTGTGAAATTCTATATTACTAATACAATTCAAACTACAGCAACTAGACCCGAACATTTTACAGTTTACTTAAAATAGTCATTTATAAAGACCAAAGTATGTAGGTACTACATTTCAAAATTTACAGACTGGGGCCGGCCGAGTGGCGCGATGGTCAAGAACTGGCTTGGGATGCCAGAGGGCCCTGGTTCGGATCCCACATATGAGGGCCAGTGACACTGCCCTCTACAGCTAAGATGCTGAACAACAGCTCAACCTGGAGCTGGGCTGCCGTGAGTCACCAGTGACGGCGTAGGCTGCAGCCCCTGTGGCGGTGGGTTGCCATGGGCTACCGTGTGTAGCCAGCAGCCAGCGTGAGCGGCCGTCCAGAAGCCGGCGACTCATCTGCCTCGCCCGGGAAGAGCACAATGATGGTGCCAACTTGGGCCAGTGAAGCAACGTCCTCCACAACTAGACTGAAGAACAAAAGGACAGCAACTTGTCTGTTCCCCTTCCCCAATTCCCCAGCGCTGTTCCCATCCCCCCAATTCCCCAATAAAAATCTTAAAAAAAAAAAACAAAAAAAACTTACAGACTGAAGCTTAGGTAGATCAATTCATCTGAAATTATGTAGAAAGTATGATTCACACTTTCTGCAATCATAGATGCAAGAGCTTTTCAAGGCAGATTATATCCAGGCCCAAAGATACAAGAGATAATACTGACCTAAGCAATACAAAACTGTTAGGAATTAAATAGATGTTCAATCAATACTACTATTTGAAAACACTAGATGTATTCTTAAAAGGAAAGATTGGAAAAGTCGGGAAAGACTTCGCAGGGGGTCTTGAAAGTGTTTGCTAGGTAAGGGGGAAGAACTGTGAGAGGACCCATTCCAGTCCGGTGCATGGAGAAGTTCAGGGTGGATGGGAAAGGGTTTCTGAGAGCTGCAGGACGAGGCAGGGGAGACGCACTGGGGTCAGACTGTGCAGGGCCATTTCCTGGCCACTGAGAAGTCAGACATGATCTCTCTGAAACAACGGCCCACCTGATTTGCTTCTTAGGAAATCCCTTCAGAGGTGGATAATGAACGGGAGGGGGAGGCATGCAGATGAGAAGTGGGGGACAGAGGCCTAGGAGGGAGACCACGGGGGTCAGAACGAAGGTGGTGGCATGGGAACGGAGAGCAGAGACCTGGTGGGAGTCATTTCTGGAGCAGAAGCCTGGGATTGGGTGAGGGACTCTGTAAGAGGTGAAAGGCAGGGAGGAGTCGAGTGCTTCTGGTGTTTCTTTCTGGTTTAGGCAGCTGAATGGGTAATGACACCATGAACTGAAACCGAAACTGAAAACACAGGTGTCAAAGCAGAATTCATGGGGTAGTGTTTGGGGACAGGGGTGGTGAGTTAATGAGTTAAGCCTTGAACATATTAAAATTGAAGTGTCTGCAGGACAAACTAGTCCAAATGTTTTTTTTAAAAAATGGTTTGGGTTACAGAAATGCAGACTTGAAAGTCATCAACGCAGAGGAATGGTGGTGACAATCCTGGTGAGAAATCAGGCAGGGCAGGGAGGAGAGTGAGAAGAAAGCCAGGATGTTTCCTTGTATTTCAGAAGAGCTCAAAGGAGATGCCAACGGAACGGTAGAGGAGGGACAGCCCAGCAGGAAGGACAGCCAGGAAGGTGCAGTTCCGGAGCCCTGGGGGGAGAGTTTGGAGAGGCAAGGGGTTGTCAATAGTGCCCAATTCTTCTGGTAAAGGTAAACAAGGATGGAAAAAAAACCACTGGGCTTGGCAACCAGGAGGTCACTGGTGACATCAGAGGAAAGTTTGAGTGCAGGGGTTGGGGCCACAGTTGAATTGAGGAGCGAGTGGGAGTTGAGAGATTGGAGATACTGAGTGCAGGCTATTTTAAGAAGTTGGCACATCAAATTTCTAACCCTAACAATGGAATGAAGTGGGGGGTAGGGTTGAGAGTTTATTTTTAGGTTGGGGAGATTTCAATGTGTTTTAATCTGAGGGGCAGTTCCCACTGAAGAAGCAGAGTTTAAAAGTATAGGAGAAAGGGGAGACAACCCATGGGTAAGATGCTGTGAGAAGCGCGAGGGAGGGCAGGAAGGGGAAAGGAGTCTGTCTGCTTGTGGGCAGGCAGCGGACAGTACAGCAGGGGTGGGCATCCCAGAGGCAGTTTAGTCCTTAGACCAGCAAACAGTTCCAGTGAGAAGTACTGAATCCCTGACATTGTTTAGAATTGCTGGTGCATTGAGTTAATAAAAAGCAGACTGACTTTGAGTCGGTTTTATTATGGTTTTTAAATTCTCTGCAGATGAGACACCCCCTTATTGCCCGCACCTCTTAGGATGGGACCTCTCGCAACGCCCGGCCCTTAGGATGCCACTGGAAACACCTCCTTTGAGATGAGAAGTAAAGACTCCTAAGGAGGTTTAGAGAAGCGATTCAGTCCTGATGCCTTTATTTTTTCTCTGTGTGCTGTCAGATGTAAAGGAGAGTGGTAAAAAATTTGAAGAGCCACATCGTGACTCAGTGCCAGAGACTTGGGCTTCAGGTGCTAAACAGCCTAACCCACCTACGGCCCTTTCTCCCCAGGGCTCACAGTTCACAGTGTCATGAGCCGGAGGGAGAAGGCAAGTGCTTCTTTTACCCTGCTCAGCTCACACCCCAGAAGAAGGTTTAAAATCCAGCAGGGCTCGCTGCCTGGAGCAAAAAGGCACCAGCAGATGCTGCAGATGCTAAGGCATTAGGGAGCTTCCTTCAGAATCGGGGACGACTGCAGCATGGGACAGGGAAGCAGTAGGCAGTTCATCATTGGAGTCATGCTGGCACCCTTGCTCATGTGCACGGGATGAATATGGAGTTTGACGATTCTACAGGAAAAGCACATTTACTAGCTACAGGTCCTGAAGAAGACCGTTTTTTCATTTTGATTTCTTGGACTACTTTCTAGAGCAATTGGCATCAATAACATTGCCCCGCCTAACAGAAGATACATACATACATATGTGTACACACACACGCACGCATGCATGCACGCACGCACATCCTGAAAGGACATATGAACTCACTTACCATTCAGGGTTATTCCAAACCAATCAAAATGAAAGCACACTTCACATTTCAAGATCCTTCTAAAGGAATCCCATTTGGGGATTACCACTCACAGGACTAAAAGGATATAGGGTGATAACTTTTTCGAGCAGTTCTGCGGAGGAAATGATAACTCGGTGCATGGTCAGCATGACTTGCAACAGTTGGTTACTTCGACACAGGTTTCCATCTGCATCTGAAAACACAAAGAGCAGCAGCTGAGCGACCTCTCAGAGAGAAGTCAGTCATCTGGGGGATGCACGACCCATCTGTGGGCTCTTCAGGCATAGAGCTTTCTGTCCACTGCCTCTAGCACCACCCTCCCTCCCTTCTTTGCTTTTATCCTTCTACTGCATTCTTCCCTTCCCAAAATGTCCATTTTGATACTCATTAACCACCCCACCTGAAACGTGGCAGACTCTTGGGAAAGGGATAAAATTTGCAGCAGTATACATGAGTTTCTGTTGAAAGCAGAGGCAGATACAGGTTGTGGGGGGAGGGGGCTAAAGTGCATATAATTGGCAGGGTGGTCCTTTCTGGGGTCAGAGTAAATAAAATTATAGTCTTAACATATTACAGTTAAATTACCTTGGTTTTGCAATTTTTGCAAAAATATGTGACCATCTGAATCCATTTCTAGGGCTCTCCCATGGACTTGGAGGAGCCCTGAAACAATAGCTTCCCTAGTTTTTTGGGCAGTATGCCTCTGGATGAAAACAAAGGAGGAAGACTATGGGCAAACATTACATTTGGAGACTATGGGTGGGATTACAACTATCCATGATGATTTGTATCAAAGAGCATGGCTAGCTAGGTTTTCCAAATCCTAGGTGGTACCAAATAATAAGATGCATTCTATACACCGGCATTGGGCATAAAGATTTCCCTTCGAGTGGTTTCCAAAATCTTTTCAACAGTGATGGCATGAAGCATTAGGGGCTGTGCTGGTTATTCGCTGCCAGGTCTAGTCTCTGTCCTTCACCATGGGCTGCATCACCACTGCCAGCTAGCTTCCAGCTGGGTTCAGCCATTGGGAAGCCTCAGGAAGAGAGGAGAGGAGAGAGAAGTCAGGGTATTGTTTTTCTCCTTCCCTCTCTGCTTTGGCACCACTGGCCCGATGGTAGCTGCAGGTCTCTTTGGTGCATGTTCACACCGGTTGGCCTCTCCTTCAGGACTCCAGCTCTCACTGGGATCAGACGCTACTCATCTCCCTTGGCCCTTTGGCCCTAAGGGTGGCAATGACTTCTGGCTGCTGACAGTCTCTGGGTGCAGCTCTCTTCATTCCACTCTCATCTCTGTAAATAGTTCCTTCAGCAAAGTGCAGTCATTTAAAGAAACCATGTGAATTCTATTCCTTGCTGGGAACTTGAATAATTCAGGGTCAAGTATCAAATGAAAAGAATAAAACATGAAGTGCCTTCTCATTTGATAGCTCTGTAAAATACAGTATATGAAAGGGGTTATCATTTTCATTTTTTCAAAGGTACCAAATGGTAAGTGAAAGACATAGTGGATTTGGGCTCAGAATTCAGATGCCCTGGCTGATTCTCAAAGGACGACCTGAAGTCCTAGTTCATTGAGAAAATGGGAATAAACTAACAGGATCACGCACTTCCCATCACCAAACCCACCGATGACCCGCACGCTATTACTCTTACTGCTTGCTTTCCCATTTCCAGGGAAAGTCTTTGAGAAGCCAGCGCTGCCACTGTGCTCTGGTCCCCTCCTTTCTCAAGGACTTTTGATCCTGCCTCTGTCCACTGTCTCTCCTGCGTTATAAACTTTTCTCTCTCTCTCCTGGTTAACATCCATTGGCATGTGAACATGCCCAGAAACTCCTGTTTAAAACAAAACAAAATAAAACAAAACCTTAAACTCTTGTTCTCCCTTGCGACCTCTCCATGTCTCTGTTCTCTTTTTCACTGAAACCTCACTGTCATCAATTTCTCACCTCCTATTCATTTTCGACCATTCGACTTGACTTTGACTTCTAATTCTACTATTCTACTACACATTTTACCTCCAAGGGCACCCACCAGCTCCACATTGCCAAATCCAATAGCTTATGCCTCTATCCTCATCTTACTTTATGACTCAAGTTGTGTTCAACCCAACTCAACCCACGCTGACAGCTCTCTCTTTCCTGGCACGCTTCCTCCTCTTGGCTTCCATAACATCACACTCTCTCGGCTTTTCTCTCATGCTCTTCTGCCTTACCTTCCTCTGCTGAGCTTTTAAATGTCACTATCCTCTCTGGCTTACTTACTCCTCCCACTTCTTTTTTCTAGCAATTTAAAAAATGTAAAACTGCTTACATTTTAAATTTAAAAAATTATTTTTCTAAGTGAACTCATCTAGTCCTTGGGCTAAAATACTTGCTACATGCTGATGACTGCCCAACTTCCATCTTCAGCCCCGAATACCAAATGAGTACGTCCAACGGCCTACTTGGCAAATCCACTCAGACGTCTAATTTCAAACTTAACTCATCCAAACAGAACTCTGGACCTCTCCCTCCCCCATTTCAGTCCTCCTCCACTCTTCCTCATCTTAGGAAATGGCACCACCAACTATCCTCTCAGTCACCCAAACAAAAAAACCTAGGAGTCATCCTTCATTTCTCACTTTCTCTCACATTGACTCCATCGGCAAGTCTTGATTCTACCATCAAAATATATCACAAACCCGTTCATTTCTCTCCATCCTTGCCATCATACTAGTTGTAGCCATCACCACCATGCAATAACCTGATTGCCTCCTGCTTCCACTCGTGTCCACCTAAAATCCATTTTTTATACAGAAGCCAGGAGCTCGTGAGCTCCTAAAATCCATTCATCAGGTCATGTGCTGAAGACACTTGAATGGATTCTATGATACATGTAGTAAACCCCTACCTCTGTACTATGGCCAATGGAGCGCCACATGCTCCGCCTCTTTTAATACTTCCCACTTCATTTCATACCGCATTGTTCCTCTCCCCACCTCTGTTTGTGCCTCGGACCTTCCAAGTTTATTCCTACCTGATGGCTTTTGTATTTGTTATTTCCTGTAATATGGTCTTGCTTCCAGTGGCCCATTCATGTCATCGAGGCCTCAGCTTAATGTCACAACCTCAGAGAGGTCTCCCTTAAACTACCTAAGGTACCCTTCCTGGGTTTCTTCATAGCTCCAATCACGATCTGAAGTGATCTTTTCTATTTGTTTAATTTTTATTTTCTCAGTTGCCACTAGAATATAACCTTCAAGAGACCTGAGTCTCATCCTGTTTCTTCCACAACCATCTCTCCGGGGCCTAGAACAGTGCTGATACATGGTAGGTATTCATTAAACATCTATTGAGTACATTAGGAGACTATCAAATAGAAGACTCCTTAACTTTGTCTTTAGATACTGAGTTTGCTTTTATCATTAGCTATTTCATGGATGATATGTAATATACACACTTATTTTCTTCTTGGCCACAGTTTACATAAAACTTTCAAGGTTACAACTTGACAAATCATTTTTATGAAGTATTCAGCTAGCCTGGTTATAGTCCTGTGAATCTCTCATTAATTCTTCTAAAGTTATACTCTCGTAAGGTAGGGTTAGTATTGCTATCTCTGTGTTTTCTAGCCCACACAATTGCTGTATTAGTTATCTCTTGCCACAAAACATTTGCATAACAAACCACCCCAAAACTCATTTATTTTTTTCTCAAGTGTCTGAGGCATGGCTGGGTGTTGGCTGATACAGGTTGGCCTTTGCTGGGGGATCTGCGCCACGTGCCCCCAGCTTCCCTGAACCAGTGGGCTAACTGAGATATGTTCTCTGATGGTGGTGGCAGGGTATCAAAGGCCAACTGGAAATTCCCAAGGCCTCTTAAGCCGAGGCTTGGAATTGGCATGCTGTCACTTCTAGCTTGTTCTGTTGGTCAAAGCAAGTCACACTGCTGAATATCCAGTCAAAGTGGAAAAGATCACTGATACAGAGAAGGTGAAAAATTGGGGGTGGGGGGGTGGGGGAAAATGCACTCAACTCTACTACAATTATGGGAAGGTAACGTTTCAATTCAGCATCTGAAAATGATAGTTTTTATAATGCAGCTTTCCTCAAGAAGTAGAAATGTTTATATTCCCATACACTACAGTAAAAGGCGGGAGAAACTGAAATATATTTGTAGGGTATGCATTAGAACGTTCAAAGGCGCTACGGACCACAGTCACAGGCTTATTCAGTATGAACAGACTCTAAGACCGGTGATCTCCGTTCTTCTTTGTGGCTGACTAGCATCTTTCCATGGATGCTCATATATTAGGGAAAGGGGCTTAGAAGCATCCTGAGTGAGCTGAAAACCAAGTCACATAGGGAAGGAACTAAATAGGCTTACTATGGACTCAGGAGAGAGATTAGAACTGTCTTTTTAAATATGTGGACTGTTATTTGCGGAAGAAGGTTTAGGTTTGTTCTGTGGGATCGGCAGAGCCAGAGAGGATGAATAAAAGTTATAGAAAAGAATTGGGCACAACATGTGGCAGGAACTTCTGACCAACAGGACTACCCAACAAGGGAAGCTTTCCCATCACAGAAGCATTCGAGAGGAGGCTGGAGAAGGACACTTAATAAGCATGAACTGTAACTGGCAGAGCAGCTATTATTTATGGAAACGCTACTAAATCCCAGGGCCTGTGCTATGCACTTTCACAATGTTATTTCTACTCTTCACAACACCTCTGCAATGTTGGTATTGTTCACAATTAACAGCAGAGGAAATAAAAGCATGGAGTGATCAGGTAATGTGTTCTAGGTCAGAAAGACAAAGGGTAGAGGGGCTAGGATCTGGCTTCAGGTGTGTTTGATTCCCAAACCCCTGCGTTTTCTACTACACTCAGCTGCACGCTGCATAATCATTTGTCAGGACAGGGAATTCAAGAGTTAAATGTGGGGGCTGAAGGAGCTGAGCTTTAATAACCCTTCCAGTCCTTAGGGCTAAAAATCAAGGCGATGCCACTGGACATTAGATTAGAACCGATATGCATTTGGAAGAGCGGCTTTTTGTACTCGGGTGATTCCTGACCAACTCATGTAAGCCCCGGATGATTGATACTGACCACTGAAGTGGCCGTGGAGAGACGAGGGTGCCGTGCCTCACATTCGCAACCATATTCACACTCCACTTGTACCTGGCACCTCCTCTTCCGTGCAATTTCGTGATGT